CAAACTGTAAGATTATTACTAATTCACGAATTCAAAACACGCGGAAATGTTTTAAAGTTTTTTAAATTCAGAAAATAAGATTACCTATAAATATTTAACATAAAAATAATAGTTTATCAACATTGAATGTGCTTAAACTTCGTCGACAAATAAATTATAAAAACATTAATAATATACATTGACATCTATATTTGTTGATTATATTTCCATCAGGACTAACTAAACATTTCATTTTCAATGGGATGTTTTGGATAAACAAATTTTGAGTAATAAATAGGATAATAAAAGAATCATGAGTATAAATACTGAACAAAAAAGAAAGACTGAAAGGAAAAATGAATGTAATAAAATAAACAACTGAGTTAAAATGAGATCGTTTGATATCATTACAGTTCAGCTTTACTGTGCTGCATTAGTATAACTCACATTCTCCTTCGATGTCAATAAACCAGTAATAAAATATCACACAATTAACAACTACTACTGATCCAAACAATTACATTAAAATGAATGTATTTCGGAAAAAAACGTATAATCAAATTATCCGAAATTCTGCATTTCGCTCGAATAATTATCTAAATTATTTATGTGAATTGAGTTATTTTATTGAAGGATAATTAATCCTGACGCTGTTTATCTGATATACATTTTACCTTTACAACTTAGAATTTTACATCTCTTGACTTTTAATTAAGGATGGCGCTTAACAATATACGAACGAATTTAGCAAAAAACCAAAACGTTCTCAGTATCATATTCAATAAAGTAAGTTTAAAGCAGTTTTACGTTAACATTTATGTAATAATAATAAGTATTGATATAAAAATTAGTTTCTGAATAAAGAAAAGTGTTCGATTCTGCAAACATATTACAATTGTACTATATTTTGTGAAAAATTGTGAAAAGAGAAATTTATTCCATGTATTAATATATTGGTTTAAAAAGGCAATCAAATCTACGCAACACTAAAATAGTATATAATGCTGAAAATCAATAACTTGCGCAGCTGCCATGCACAGTGATAAGAGTCTACACGTGTCCAGAAAATTAATCATTCAAATTCTGTTGGCTCAAGTTGATGAATAGCATTATAGATGATAAATAACTTATAACAAAGTTCAATCCTATGTTTTGACCGACAAGTGGTACCGTTCGATATGATTCACGTTGTGTATGCTCAATGGAAGACATATTCTGGGAACGTGATGACCATGGAAAAAGCGGAACCTGTCATGCGCTGGAGAACGCTGATATTTTCCAAGAAACAAAATATGAGACTGGTCTTGCTGAAATATAGCTCTGGGAAAGCTGCGGGAAGGGCTAGGGCTATTATCTACTGTTTTGTGATCTAGTGACAACTATTCAGGGTTTCCATAATAGGTGGATTCATTCTTGATATCCGATAGCAACCCAAAAAGGTAACGGCAAGTATTCAGCTAGCCTAACACTGAACACGATACTCCATGGAAATATATTCCCCTGTGTAGCGTTCGAAGTGAACATGATTATATGCTAGCGATTGGCTGTGTCGATGAGCCTAGTGCAGCCAAATGTATCATAAGTGCTACATCAAGAAAACCTTGCGCAGTGAAATAATTGTCATTTAAGTCCATAAGGCAACAAATACGACAGACTATGATGGCAAGTAATGCTGTACTTGGAGACGACTACAATGTTGTTCCAAAATGCAATAAAATGCTGTGCGGTCCATCACCTCCAGTTTGTCGTATTATGGTGACGTTACATTTACTGACCAATACCAGTATTATTTCAGTTTTACATGGCCTCTATTCCCTCTACATTAGTGCTTCTCAAACTTTCAATGTCTGTGACCCAATATTCAATCATAATTTGCATCGCACCTCACTCCATACAATAACTATGTATTAAATTCTATAATACTCTACTTTGACACTAAACTGACTACACGACTTTAACTTCCTTAGTCCTCCGACGTGTATAAACGTCTCACTCAGCCTGTGTGTCAATTTTCCCAAGACGTATACATACGTCTTTCCGAAGTACAAACTTTTCTGTGAACTGCTTTTCATAAAATCGTTTCGAAAGCTTCGGAAAGCAATAAAATGACCTGGACAGTGTTTGCGAAGGATATACTTATTTCCGAGGATTTGATTATTTATCCCCCCTCAATGCACCTCATACGCTTACTTACGTGCTAACGCTGGTATTGGGAAAAGAATCGATCTATTCTTAATCGGCATTTAAGGGATTAATTATAAACCGTACAAATTATCAAGATAAGTGTTAATGTTGGTATATAATTTTATATGTGACAAATCCATGGGCGGCTCACTAGTAATTATTAAAATTGTCCTTAACTTAGTATTGCTAAATTAATTATAAAGTAGATTGTTCAGTGCTGATACATTCCTAAGTGTATTATAGCTTAAATGAGTATTTTATTTTTTACTGTCCCAGAATGTATTTGTTTGTTTAACTTTTAGTAAGTTAATAATTTTTTTTAAATAATCTTTTGTTTTCAACTTTTCAATATGCTCTCAGGGTTATCACGCCGCCCTAACGGGAGGGGAGGGGCACTCCACAGTTTTAGAAATGCTGCTCTACTATCGTTTCACTGTTATTATATCACTTTCCGTGTGGGTGGCGATTTTACAGAAATTAAATCATTCTATGTCTTCATTCAAAATCTATTAGTTGCTCGAATGACACTTTGCACTTTTTGACGAGGCACATTGATTTTTAATTAATAGTTTACGTGTATAAGTGTCGAATAACGATTAACACAACTTAACGCAAAGAAAATTGTTCTTGGTTCACACACGCGTGGTCGTTTTGTATTCGAATCATTGGCATATCTGACCCTGTTTCGTATTTGGTGAAAGTATCGCTTAATTTGCATCAGATTTCCAAGATATTACAATTTTCAAAAACAGTAATGGTGATATTGAAAATTAATAGAAACACTAAATTAACTTAACTCACTGTCGTGACAGCCCGTGAGGGTCACGGTCTGCTGAGCCCAACTCAGTGCACGCAAACTTGGGCCCTGAGATGCATGAGCTGATGCTCAGGTCAGGTGGTCAGCCTTTCGCGAAACCCCCAGTGTTAAGTTCTGAAGCAAGCTTGGTACTCCTTTTATCGACCCACTGAAGGGATGAAAGACTGAGTCAGCCTTGCCCAGTCATTGGTTTGAACTTCAGACATATGGTGTGGAAGCGTGATGCACCAACCATTCAGCCACTGGGTTTCATAGAAACACTGAAATATGTAACCAAAAATGTACAAAAATATATCGCAATTATAGTTTAAAACATTTTCTTTAGTCACTTTCTTTGGTAAGAACTGTATATATCTGGGTATATATTTAAAAGTATTATCTTCTGTATTGTTAGAAAATCAGATATTGAAGTTAAACAAATTAATAAACAGTTAGATATTTTATAATTCATGTTTACGTTCTGAATAAATTTTTTTTGAACCATACTTCGCATCATGAATTAATCATTTGTGAAACACGCACATTACCATCTACTCTGTGATTTGCATTTGAATGACGCTTTGAAGTAGAAATAAAAAAAAGATTGAATGTTAAGAAGAAATATTATATGTGATTTGTTGCAGTATTATGCAATATTATTTTTTTTAAAAGAAGTAAGTTGATAGTAATATACCCAGATGATGAAGACAGCTGAGATTGTGTTCCAATCTAAAGATCTTTACTGATTGTCAATTTTTCTTGACCGGAAATGGTTTTAGAAATTTGGATCTCACAATGTGATTCGTTTCGTTTTTTCTATTAGTATTTTCTTGTTTTAGAAGTAGGTGATAAACTCTAGCTTTATTTAATTCGAATTAGTTTTGCACTTAGGGTTTAAAATGAGTTAAAAAATTAGTCTCAACAATAGTCTAAAATATCTTCCTTGGAAAATGTTTTACAATTTTTAATCTTGTTATTGTAAAAATTTAAAGGAAAATACACGCGTGGAGTAAAATACAATCTCGGTAATGACCGTCTTAATATGTAAAGGATTGCTGTTTTAAATCGTCTGGCATAAAACAAAATTACTAACGTAATTAATTTTACAATAAGTGTGTTTGCCCTTTATTTTAATTGTGGAAATATTTTAAGAGTTTACTTAGTTAAATTTATATATATGTTGCATAAATAAAAAAAAATATTCCATACACAAACTAATAGTATGCATTTGCATAAATTTGTAATTTTACTTGATATAAATTATTTTCAATGCAAAACTTAAATAAAATGGGTAAACAATTAAGATATTTAATAGTTTTTCTTTCGAATGAGGGGGTTGTAGCTAAGTGGCTTAAGCCGCCAGGCCACTCAACTGCAAACTTGGGATCGAGGTTTCGAATCCACATGTTCCTCGGAAATATCCGAGTGGTAGCGTATCACGCTTTTATAACACACTTTCTACCCACAACCTGGGCAAGGTCAACTCAGCCTTTCATCCCTTCAGCAGTGGATCGATAAATAAGTACCAAGCTTGCTTGGAGACTTAAAAAAACTGGGGGTCTCGCTTCAGACTGACCACCTGATTGGGACATCCGCTCATGCACCCCAGCGCCATATGGTCGTGTATAGCCAATTCAGGACCATGATCACATATATGTAATCATATGTTTCTTCCTCTAGGACCCACGGTATCATATATGTGATTGCACTTTCCCTGCTCTGAGGCCTATGATCACACCGGTGTGATCTGAGTTTGGAACGTTTTTATGTTAATTTTTACAAGATAATAGATCGCGGTTAAAGTATGTTCTCTTTTTTACAAGCATTTATTTAACTTGCAATGTAAAATGCTCGGCTGGAGAATCTTGCAACTCAATTTTGAAGGTGATGTCTTCAACCGATTGAGCTGAGATTTTGTATACTAGTTTAGTTTGGATGACAATGTATGATTTGATGATTTATATTCCGATATCGACATAGTTACTGTAACGATATTGATCAGTTGTTAAGGCGAGCATGCTTACAAAACAAAATTTCATCCGGGAACATAGCTCAGATGGTAGAGCCCTCACTTGGCATGCCAGAGGTACGGGGATCGATACCCTGTGCCTCCAATTACTATTTTTTCGTGAAATATATTTCTGAAATTCGTTTGAGTTCTACAACGAGATATTTTACAATAGTTCTACTCTGTATGCCTATAAAAAATAGGTTACATTTTACAAGCTTTTGTTTAACTTGAAATGTAAAATGTTCGGGTGGAACCTTGCAACTCAATTTTGAAGCTGATGTCTTTAACCGATTGAGCTAAAATTTTTTATACAGATTTAGTTTGGATGACAATGCATGCTTTGATCCTTTTTTCTGATATAGCAATTAGTTAAAAATATATTAATTAAAGTAATTTGTTCGGGTGGAATCTTGGAACGCAATTTTGAAGCTGTTGTCTTCAACCGATTGAGATCAAAGTTTGCATACACGTATAGTTCGAAGGTGTGGACCCGGGGGCGTAGCTCAGATGGTAGAGCACTCGCTTAGCATGTGAGAGGAACCTGGATCGATACACCGAGCCTTCAATCATTTTTTTTCATGTAAAACATTTTTGAAATCCGTTTGATTTGTACAACGGTATATTTTACAATACTTCCACTTAGCATACGTACAAATTATGTTATATTTTTACTGTTCTAGATTGAACAAAAAGAACAGCAAAACTATCAAGTTATTTATATTTAATTTGAAGCATTCTATGATATATATTTACTCGATTCTAGTTTCTCCTGTAACACTTTTAATTTACCTAGTTACTGTAACGATCTTGTTCTGGTGATCAGGCGAGCGTGTTTACAATAACACGGCCGTCGACCAGAAGCGTAGCTTAGATGGTAGAGTACTCGCTCAGCATGCGAGAACTACGGGGATCGATAAACCAAAGCTTCCAAATATTACTTTTATCGTTAAAATACTTTTGAAATTCGTTTGATTTGTTCACCACGCGATATTTTACAATACTTCCACTCTGTATACGTACAAAAAAAAAATATGCTATATTTTACAAGCTTTTATTTAACGTGCAATGCAAATTCTTCGGGTGGAATCTTGCAACTCAATTTTGTAGCTGATGTCCAGCCGATTGAGCTGAAGTTTTGTATACACGTTTAGTTTTGGATCACAATGCATGTTTTGATCATTTATATTCCGACATGGCAATTAGTTAAAAATACTAGATGCATGACCTGGCATTGCACGGTTTTTGTCTACTTTTATAAAAATTTCCCCTTTCCTTCACAAAATCAGCATTTCTAATATTCTTCTTTAAAATGACTTCCACCCCCTCCCCCACCTCTATCTTTAAAATTAAGATCTTTAAAATAAAAGGAAGATATATTCAATTTCGCATTGCGTTATTTGTTAAAGCTAAAACAATTTTTACGGCCTTAATATTTAAGTTAATGCCTGCAAACTTCACATATCGATTGTAAACAACGGTAATTTTTAAACAAAAATTAAAATAAAAATAGTGCTTAAATTTTTTTCGGAAAAGGAAAAACACAATTTCTTTTAAAACCGTAATTTTTAAGCATTTGTTCAATATTTGTACATAATACAGATAATATCATTCTACATACGGAAAAATGTTTCATGAGATTATTTTATAAATAAAGAAATTATTAAGTATTTAAATAAAATTTTGGGCAATTTTTTGAAAAATCGTGGGAAAAAAAACGTTTTTGACGCTTTATTTTTTAAATGACTGATTCTAAAAGAGAATAGCATGAATTTTATTAGTGTAGAATATCATTTCATTAACGTGAAAGAAAATGCAATCGGAACGATTTAGAAATTATTTTCATAAAAATGTATCGAACTTGAATCACTTTAGAAAAAATCGTAAAAAGTAGAAAATATCATTATTTTGTAAAAAATAAAAATTATACCTTTTGTGATGAAGTAAATAATCCATCCGATTCTGTAATTATTTTTTGTCTGAGTCTCATAAAAAAAATTAGATCGTGTTTTAAAAACGTCTGGGATGAAAAAAAAAAGGTTAGAAAATTGAAACTTTGCCTCCTGGCGGGATAAACTGTCAATAAATATGTGTTTTAATTTTTTAATTAATATCTTAATAACTCATTGTACTTTCGGAATATAAATAGTCAAAACGGATTCCGTGGATAATTCCCAACCTTTTGGTACATTTTGCGAGTTTATGAGAATTGCGGTTCGTGATAAGATACACGTGGTCGTATAGTCGCATACGTTTGTTTACTTTCGAATTTTAACAGTGTAGATATTAATTAAAGTAATTTTTTCGGGTGGAATCTTACAACTCAATTTTTAAATTGATATAATTAACCGATAGAGCTGAAATATTGTATACACGTTTAGTTTGGATGACAATGAATGTTTTGATGATTTATATTCCGATATCGCAATTAGTTTAAAAAGATATTAATTGAAAACCATTTTCTCCTGTTAGCTTTTTATTCTGCCGAACAGCTTATCGGATTGAGCTTAGAGAAGTTCCGATTTTTCGACCTTTTTTCAAGAACCATCTTATTTTTTCTATCAAACTCAGACAAAAAATAATTACCTAATCGGAAAGATGATTTATTTCACCAAAATACGGTATAGTTCTTTTTAAAAAATAATGATATTTTCTATTTTTTACAATTTTCTCTAAAATGAGTCAAAATAGATGCTTTTTGATGAAAATGATTTGTAAATCATTCCGTATGAATTTTTTTTTTCCGGTTATTGAATCGATATTCTGCACTAAGAAAGTTCAGGCGTTTCAATTTTAGGATCAGTCATTTAAAAAATAAAGTGCTTACAACTCTTTGTGACGATTTTTCAAAAAAATACTTAAATTTTTAGTAAAACAATTAAAAACTTTGTCATTTTTTAAATATAATCGCACGAAAATATTTTTTCGTTTGTAGAATAGTATTACTTAAATTCTGCACAAAAATTGAAAAAAAAAATTGGTTTAAAATTACGGATTTAAAAACAAAAGAAATTGTGCTTTTCGTTTTAAATATATTATAATAGTAAAAGCAAAAAAAGTTTTAATATTTTAATTAATTTTGATTTTTTCAATGTTGTTTTGTTCCAACAGTTTTTATCCACCTTTCCCATTATCCTCTTGTTGCGGCTGGAGTGAAATATCTTTTAGATGTTTGTGCACTGGCGGAAAAATAGTTTGCGTACCCCCCTTTTTTTTAGCTAGATTTTTCAAAATTAACCGGCTAACGACCTTGCAACAATGATGCGTTGAATGAGATTAACAGATTGAGACACCTCTGTCGAGCGATAACTAAAAAGTAAAAAATAAATTAGAAGTAAAAAAAAACTGTTTTAAAAACAAGCTTTTATTTAAATTCTCTAAAAAGAATAAAATAAACTTCGTTTAAAACTTTTTTTGCTATCAACTTATAAAGTCGTTACACAATTTATAAAATATAAAAGCTTGTCGCGAAATTTACCTGTGTAGATAAACAAGCGAATTAAATAACTTGATCTGATTGATTTTAATTTTTGAAATTTTCAAACTAAGTAAATACGAGTTCTTAAATCTCGCGACAAATTTTTATATCATAAATTGTGTAATGACTTTATAAGTTGATAGCAAAAAGGTTTTAAAATAAAAGTTTATTTTATTCTTTTTAGAGCATTTAAATAAAAAAAAACTTGTTTTTTTTAAAAAAGTTTTTTTTTTTTACTTTTAATTAATTTCGAATGATGTTTCACAAAACTTATGACTTTAATATGCGTTTTCGGCTCTGTGTATATTTTATTGTATCCGGGATATTTATGAATGTAAACAACTGCTGATGTTAAGATTTTGGAGTTAATTGGGCATTTAAAGGTTTGTGATCTATTGCGCTCTGGATTTCTGTTTATACTTTGACAAAAATGGGAAAGGATGGAAAGCTTGTTAGTATATTGAGAATCAGACATTCATAATATTAGTTTAAGTATTGATTTTATATTTTGGATCATATTTACAACAATAATTTTAATAGTCAAAAAACATTTAAAAAGCAGTTAATAAAACAAACGCGATGACTAATTTTTAACGGTAAAGAATCATTAGCTCTAACTGACTCATTTTTAATTCAGTATAAGAACAAACGATTATTTTTCATTGTTATAGCAACCAGAGTTGCTATAGCCATAAGAATCCAAAGCTATAAATAAAAGGAGGAATAATTCAATCAAAAATAAAATTAAAAAAAACGGTATATTAGCTGGTATTTAAAAGATTTAGATATATATGTATAGCAAATTTATGTGAGGGTAAATTATCATTTGGGATAATAGCCAAACACTATTTTGTATGCTCTGCGTCTATTTTATTATCATCATGGCAAAAAAAGTACTTTTTTTATTAAAATGGAAACCTTTTCTTTAAAATTCGCAATTGTTTTTTTCAAATGTAACGAAAATCTTTGTACTGTATGTTCAGATGCTATCATTGATAGCAAATTGTACTTTTTGGCGTATTTGATTGCATTAAAGATTTTACATGAATTTGTAAATGAAATTAGGCTTAGCAGGGAAATTCCCCCGGTCCGGTGCGTGCGTATACTCTCGAAACGTGCGGTCTGGGGAAATGCCTCTTTTCCTTCCACCGGTCTTGAAGGGGATACTGGGATGGGCACAGTAAGCCCTGGCACTCATGGGCTGTTGCGCCACTGAGTTTGAGTCTTTCAAATGGGTCTACGTTTTGGTAATTGCTATTTTAGACCTATTGCACGTTCCCCAAGAGCTGATATCACTTTTTAGTGTGGCTCTATATAGACATATACCAACTGCCCGAATTTAATTTTGACACCCAGTTTCCTCCCCAGGGGAAGACATATGAGCTCTGACGATGTGAAATTGTACTAGAAATTTAATTTTGCCAAGAGTACCTGTGCCGAAAAGGTATTCTAGTGACCTGTAACATGCCGCTTGATCATACGACATGGACGCTGTCGATTTTTTGAATCATTAAAATCCACCGGCTTGTGTTACGGTCGAAACGCAAACTTGTGTGTACAAGACCAGCAACTAACCACCTACACCACCCAGCCAGCATATATTTAATATCAATATAGGAAAATATTGT